AGGGAGGGAGGAGATCGGCTGGGGACCCCATGCGCCAGACGTTGCCAGCCCACCACCTGTTCTAAGGTGACCAAGCAGGTCTAGGTTCCCTCTTGAAAGCTTGTAAGCCAGTCACTTCTTGCCTTTGTAGGCCCCCTCTCCTCCCATTTTGGGTAGCCAATGTCCAAGTTGCCCATCCCTGTCTACCCTGTGTACCAAGGGGGTGAGAATGATCCTCACTGTAAAGATTTGTTCCCTCTATTGACCTACTGCGTCCATAGGTGTAGGTCAAGTTCATCAAATTGTATCAGATTACTATTTTTCCACCCTCTTCTTTCTTCTTCTAGTTTAGCTCTGATCATCCAGTCATTGAAGCCAGGTCAAGTGGGTATGATCTGCAAGTGTGGGTGTTCTTATGCATATCCCCTCACTTCTTATCAGCTGCACACTTCCCTCTCCACTCTAGTCCTCTATGGCTATGTCGCTGACTCCGGGCCCAAGAGTCCCCAGGTCTTGCCACACTGCTGGCCAACCAGGTCTCTACCCAGGTTCACAGGAGTGTATTGAACATTGTAGGGCTTATCTTGCCACTTCATTGCTGTTTTTCCCTTACTTCCCCTTATCGGTGACCAACATGTTCACCAGTCAGACCGCATGCCCTTGAGTGTTAGTCTTGGAAGGAGGTTTGCCCTGAGGAGACTCAACCACTTGCCTTGATGTCTTCTGGACCAGCAACTTGCTTGTTCTTGTAGTAGTCAGTCGGTCTTTCTTTCAAGAAGTATTTTCTGTTCTAGCTGCTCCAGGCTGGTCTACTTATCCTGTCAAGTGCAGATTTCCCACCTCAGAAGATTCTGGATGGGGTTCAGGATTCCACCTATGGTCTTATGCAATGCAAAGGCTCCGCAGGAAGCCTCCTTCACTGGACAAGTTGTATCCCCATTTTAGGTATTCCAATCAGTTATAGGCAGAAGATGGACTTACAAGCTTTCTATGGTGATATTTCTGGCTATTCCTTTCTCTCTCCTGCAAGTATATTTTACAATGGTATGCAAGCATCCCAGACTCTTGAAGTTAAGGGGATATGGGCAAAGGTATCTCTTTGGATGCTTCCTGCTGATTTATGCACGTAGCTGAGGTGAGTCTGCAACAGAAAAGTGACTGCCACCTGATCTTTCACAATGGCAGTGAGTCGGCCTGCAAGAAACCTTTGGAAAGAACTTATACACAGCAGGAATACAGCTCCCAGGCAAAGGAGGAGTAGAGGTCCTAAGAAGGGTAATAACCAAAGGAGGATAATTTGGGTGAGCCACGAGCTTGGAGAATGGTTGGAATTCAGCCTTGCTGCTTTTTCTTTTAATCTCTATACCATCTTGGACTAGGCCTAATTGGTTCACAAAAAAAACAGCATTCCTCATTGAGAAATATGCAGGTGCCTCCTTTTTCAACTTTAAGTAAGTGTAGGGCTCTTCAATTTTGGAGAACTTGGGCTGCTAACCACAAGGTCAGCAGTTGAAAATCACCAGCTGTTCCGCAGGAGAAAGATGAGGCTTTCTGCTCCCGTAAAGATTTACAGCCTTGGAATCGCTGTACAGGGTTGCTATGAGTCAGAACTGACTCCACAGCGCATAACCAACACCAACACCACTCCTGCTAGGGAGTTACTCTGATCTTGAATTTGGGATAGCTGTAGAGATAGTTCTTCCAACTTTTCTCATAGGGAGGAGGATAGAGTGGCCGAGACTGAAATTCCTGCTACTCCAGTTCCTACGCCTGCTGAGATTCCTAGGCCGACAAGTAGGGGGATAAGTTGCAAGGCACTTGTGTTTCGGCTCAAGGGGGTGTTTATTGGGACAAATACAGATTGGTCTTCAAAAGAATAGGTTACAGATGGGGATATTTATGCTAGGGGG